CTACTACTACTACTACTACTACTACTACTACTACTACTACTACTACTACTACTGCTGGTGCTGCTACTCTATCAACTCACTCTGAAAGATAGTTATTTTGCAAGCACGAATGCTTTGTCCACTGACCGAAACTACACTGTTAGCGTTTGTGGTGCAATGGCTAATCTATTTACTGTTGCGTCCAAAGAAAGCGAGTTCAATTGCCGTGTCTAGTGGTTTTTAAATCAAGTTTCTCTGTCATCTGGGGTGACACGAACAGTTAAGCTCAGTCTTGCCTTTAAAAAAAACAACTAAAGTGTGTCGAGGGTGTGCCAAACATTTTCGGTATTAATTTTTTTAGAGAACCGCAACGGAAAGATTTTAAAATGAAAATCGAAATTTTGACCCCAACATCGTATTTTGAAGACCGTGCCTTCCCTTACAACGAAGATTTTATTGAGTGACCTCGGATTCAAGCATCATGGTTGTTAACTCACTGACTCAAGAGAAGGAAAAGTGCGTGGTCGGTGGGTGGTCTGGTCTGGTTTGCTCCTTCTTTCCTGTCAGACATTTTTCGTCCTTATTTATTCTCCTTCTTTATTGTGTTTGTTACTCTCTTGTAACTCATCTGAATTTCGGCGCTCATATGACCTAATTGTATTTAAAGTGCCGTTAACAGCATATTGAAACTAAATAGAAGGCACATCATCTCTTGCTGGGGTTCTTCAAAAGATTTTTAAAAGATTAATGCAAAAGACAACGATTGATTAATATGTGCAGGTGTCAGGATTTGTATAGTGTCAAGACATGTGAGCATTTAAGCTTGCTGTACATAAAGACTACAATTAATCATCCTAAAATACAATGTTTCAGACAGTGCAGCTGCTCATACCTAACTGGTACTCAGACAAAGGCTACGCAAAAATTATTATTGCTTTTTCTCTGTCTTTTTCTTTCCCATTCAACCCCCCCCCCCCCCCCCCCCAAAAAAACAACAAAACAACAACAACAACCCCCCCTCCAACTGACAAAAAAGCACAGGGACGAGCGTGCATACAAACAAAGATGTTTACGTTTAAACGAATGCGGGCACACGTACCCAAACAAACACACCGAAACACAAACTCCAATTCACAGAAATAGACATTTGCACACATAAACATGCAACGTAAAGACACACAACTGCCCAATCAGACTCACATGCACACAATGACTAACACACACAGACACTCGCACTCGTACACACACACACACACACACACACACACACACACACACACACACACACACACACACCAGCTCAAGGGTACACTTACAACAACATACACCCATAACATACACACGTGTAAACACATACATACACAACACACACACACACACACACACACACATACACACACACAAACAAGCGCACGCGGGCACGCACACATGCACACGCACATACATATATGCACACATATACACCCCTCCCCTTTTTATCACACACTCAGCCCCCTCCCCCCACATACACACATACTCAGTTAGACAACCCCCCCTCCCAGAAAATAATTAATTAATTAATTAATTTAAAAATAAATAAATCAATCAATCAATCAATCAATCAATCAATCAATCAAACCACTCCCCATCCCCCACACACGCACACTCATATGCGCAAATACATACACACAGAACTTACATGGTCATTTCGGCTCTTATCCTATTACGTCAGAGCTGGCACAAGGACGAAGAACCCACGAAATGACCAGGTTACTAGATCCTGTCAGGACCACGAGTGTCATTTTCACTTGAACAAGTAAGGAGACAATTCGGTCAAAATATTACCACAAGCATGTGACCTCTGATATAAGAGTCCATGACCTTCTCGTCTCCCCTTCTCTTGACGTACAAGAGTAGGCTATATTTTTTCTATAACTTTATTGAATACGTTTGGAATGGAGGACAGCTTCTGAGAAGCTGAAAACTATGGTATGCATCACCATTTCTTTCGACAGAACATTTACAAATTAATTTTTTGATTCACCAAATAGGGAAACTTTGAAAAACAATATAATTTCTCGCGTAGAATGTTGCACTTGGTGGGTGGTTTGCGGGTGCTCTTTTGTGGTTTGCTTCTTAGTTCCTATCAAATTTATATTTTCTATACCTCTCCTTCTTCTTTTCTTTGTATGATACTCTGTATTGACAATTTTAATCTTTGTCACTCATATGGCCTATGTAATTTGCAAGCGCCGTAAAACATTTACTAATCATTCCGCTGAAATATAGTATTTGTCAATAATTAAAGCCGTGTTGATTCTTCGGAGAGTCCAAGTCAAACAGTGAAGCAGTGGACTAGTGATGAAGATGATGTGATGAGTTTGATTACGATTCTGTTTGGTCTGACATTATTGTATCATTTGCAAATTTTAATGTATTGCCATATTTTCCTCAGATCAGCCAATTGTTTAAAAGATGATATTTGGCAATTGGCAGAGACAGATAACATGGATGGTAAGTGTATGGTCTAACAGGTTGCATTGGTTTATGTGCCTCAATGGGACCGAATTGGTAACTCAAGAGTTATAGGGAGTTACTTCAAAGTCCCTTAACATCACAGGACGAGACAGGAAGAGAAATGAAGAAGTAAAAGCAGCTATCGGCACTGAGTCCTGCCTGCATTACATAGAAAGACAGAAAATAAAATGGTTTGGCCACCTATCACATTTGTCACCTGGCCAGTCAGCGTCGATAGCCTACAAAACCAAGCACTCGGGCTATAAAGGAAGAGGGAGGCCACGCAAAAAGTGGTTCGAGGGTATCAAGCGAACCCTAAGAAAATATAATATCACAACTGAAAGAGCCGCGGAGCTGGCCTTCCATAGAAAACTGCATATCCCCTCGACGCTTAACGGCAACAGAGGATTAACAAGTAAAAGTAAAAGTAAAGTAAGTACTTCAAAGTCGTGTGAACCGTCTACTCTACTGGAGATGGATGTTAATTCAAAGACTGGCGTATGGTATCTAGCTCGATCGCCAGTCACAAAAATGGCAGTGACCTCAAAGGATATAACTCGTAGTTCTGTCATATTATTTATAAAACCCTGCATTCACTGAAAAAATACGATTACTGCTAGAACAAGTTTTGGGAGATTTTATAACATATCTCCCCCCCCCCTCTCTCCTGAGCCACATGGGTCGGCGTTTGTGGTATGGCTCTTCGCTATTGTACGCAATTGGCGTGGCTTCAATTCAAGGTGGGCAAGTACTTTAAGGGAAATCTCTGTCTCTCTGTAGGGATGTCGTATCCCACTCATCCCAGGTTGGCCATTAAAGGCGGAGTCGAAGCAACCCATGTCCAAAATGATCTAATGTGTCGATTGATACATGAAATATTCCGAATCAGTTATCATCGCTTGATGAATATAACTTGCAGGAGACCCTTCAGACCAAGAACTCCCGCACATAATGGTTCTATGTGAGTATGACGCTCTTCCTGAGATTGGCCACGCCTGTGGACATAACCTCATCACTGAACTCGGGGTGGCAGCTGGGATGGGGGTGAAGGCGGCGATGGAAGAAAACCAGGGACTTGTAGGAAAGGTACGATCAAATACCCAAGCGTAAACTGTGCCAGAACATAGGGTCAATGTACCGCGTTAGGCACCTTAAAATATCTATATCCAATGGTTCTCTAGGTGTTTAAAGAGCCTCTAAACTAGACATGAAGGACAAACTTTGAGTTAAATTGTAACACACGTTAGGGATCCATACTTTATATATTATCTCGCTTAACTCAGACAAAGATGTAATCTTGCTTTTCTCAATTAAAGAAAGGCAGATTTCAAACTGCTCAGATATTCTGAGCGAAACTTAAGTAATCTATAAATAAATGTACCCATACCTGACTTTGAAATTAGTGAAACAAAACCGGACTGATTTAGACCGAAATAATTAAGTAACCCCAAATTTTAATTGTATTAAACAAAACTAATCAACACTGAAGAAATATGGTCTTTTAGACACAAGAATTTATACACGTAATTTCGATAAAAATCGAATATCTTGAGAAGAAGAAAAAGAGACTATGTTTTTGTTCACTTGTCCCAATGTTCTGTAACATTTTAACAGTTAACCATCTTGGGCACCCCGGCAGAGGAGGGAGGAGGCGGCAAGGCGTACCTCATTGAGGCTGGAGCCTTCAAGGGAGTCCATGCCGCACTGATGGCCCATCCTGCACCTTTCAACATCGATGACCCGACAACGCTGGCTGTGAAATTGTAAGCTTGAAGAAAAACCTCCAAACCCTTACACGTCTGTCTTTTGATATATTCTCCCACTCATTCATTCACTCTGTCACTGCCGGATTTACTCATTCACAAACTCAATCTGTTCCTGTCTGTTTCAATTCCCTCCCTTTTTCTCTCTCCCTCTCTCTCTCTCTCTCTCTCTCTCTCTCTCTCTCTCTCTCTCTCTCTCTCTCTCTCACTCACTCTCTCTCTCTGCCCCCCCCCCATCTCTCTCTCTGTCCCCCTCTCTCTCTGTGTGTGTCTCTCTGTCTCTCCCTTTGTGTGTGTCTCTCTCTCTGTCTGTCTGTCTCTCTCTGTCTCTCTCTCTCTCTCTCTCTCTCTCTCTCTCTCTCTCTCTCTCTCTCCCTCTCTCTCCCTCTCTCTCCCTCTGTATTTGATGTTCATTAACCTACATCTTTTCCTGTACTACTTTCTCTACGTTTGTAATTCTACATTCCCTTCTATCGCATTATCACTGAGGTGTCTGTTTTTATTCAAAGCCTTTGGTTAGCTCGCTTGACGTCCAGAGATATTCCAAGGTAAATTCATAACCACGAGTGTCGAATGCGATTTTTCATGCATTATTAGCTGACTGAATCAAAGCATTTCAAACTGATTTGCATAATTTTGTGTTCGTGGAAAAGTAAAGGTTTCTGTAACTAAGATGAAAACCACATTATCCAGTTTACAAGATTACAACAGGCTTTTATACATAGCTCTGGCATGACAGAAATAAAAAAGAAAACATGGAAATTAAAAACAAAACAACTCACGCAAAATGAACATTCCTTAGTAACAGCAGGCGTGGCGGGTGCAGCAGTAATATTAGTTGTTGCGATTGCTGTTGTCCTTGTAGTTCTTGCTGTTGTCATTAGTATCGTTGTAGCTGTGCTCTGCTTAGACAAAATGCGACCTCAAAGAATTCAAGACCTTAGTTGCCCCTTCCCCCCTCCATGCGAGGGTGGGCTGTAAAGTAATGGCCGATATGCCAAAAACTTTTTTTTTTGGTAGAGTAATGACAGTTGCAACAAAAACGTTCTAGGCATTGGACTACTACCACATATCATTTATGAAAGAATGAGCTCTGTTTATGGTGAGGTTTGTAGAGGTGTTAACGCTATTAGAAAACACTCAAGATCGTTGAAAGGAAAAGTTCTATCTGAGTCAAAATTGAAAGATCAAGTGCATTCTGGTAGGCCAGATAGTACCTCAAAATCGGTCAGTCATGACAAGGTATAGAGCATGGTTAAGGCCAGACTATGAGTTCTTCAAAAATGCCTTGCAAGCGTAGTCGGAATATCCAAAGAACAAGATCACCACACCTTTTAGATATGTTGGGCTATAGGAAAGTGCCTACCATGTGGACCCCTAGTATTCTGACGACTGACTTGAAAGATGAGAGGAAAAAAAGACGTGCACCGTACTCTTGATACCGTTTGAGCAAGAAGGTGAAGCTTTCCTGCATCAAATTGTCACCGTGGATTAGTCATGGGTGCATCCCCATGGCCCTGAAAACAAACGCCAATGGTGTACAGGCATAGAACTGATCAAAATTTAGCATTGTAGTCGTCCCTGACTGTGATAACAACACTGCTTTTGTCTCTAAGACCAAATATTATATCTCCTACTCATCATGCTCTTGTCCTTAGCGTCGAAGTGACGTACCACGGCAAGGCTGCTCATTCTTCAGTGTCCCCTTGGCAAGGAATTAATGCCCTTGATGCTGCTGTTCACGCCTACACGGGCATCTCCCACCTCCGCCAACAGATCAGACCGTCTGGCCGGGTACATGGTAGGTATTGCCGGACTGCTGACCTTTTCAGACGAAATTCATTTGCCAGTTATTTATTGGTAGGTCATTTCAACCTTTCTATATAGCTGTGAATGCTGGAAATAACTAAAGACAGTGAAAATAAAATAGAAGTAACAGAAATGTGGTTTCTTTGGAGACTGCTAAGAGTATCGTGGAAGGAAAAGAAATCAAATGAGGTAGTTCTCGATGAAGCCCACGTGGGACGCTCACTGTTAAAAACAATCGGGAAACGACAATGCAGTTTTTGGGACACATAAATAGACATAAGGATCTTGAACATCTAGCTCTCACTGGCAAAAGTAAGGGGGAGGCGAGGCAGGGGTAGGCCCAGAACAACATACTTTGGGAACCTAAACAAATGGGTAACAGGGAAAGATCAGGGAAACGTAGCTTTGTTTGAGAGCATCCAAGCAAAGGAATGAATGAAGAACCATGATCGCCGATGACTGTCGCAGATCTGGCACTAGATGATGATGATGATATCATTTCACCCACATAGAGAATCTTTTAAAATCTTCGGATATGCGTAATATAGATTGAAAGTGAATGGAGCTTGCTATTAAGCAGGGATATACGCTATACAAAAGTTATGTATTACATGTATGCGTTACTATCAGTTATGATCAAGGACAAACCTGTTAGACTAATTATTTTAATTTGAATTAGTTGCAAACGTTTTACGTGTACATTGGCATAATTTAGATCATTTAAGAGACGGGCTGCTTCGATCCTGCCTGTCAGGATTAGCCTGGGCTGAATGGGACACTTATACCCCTGCAGGCAGGCGGACATATGTGATGAAAAACGTCACCACTCGTTAATAGAACTCAGGCTTTCTGCATGCAACATGTTAAGAGCAGGGAGCCCAATCGCCGTCCTACAGATTTCGGCAGTCATAGACACATAGCATTAAAAGAAAAACTTCTTCGTTTTATTCCATCAACGTAAACGGGAACGACTTTGATATGTGCCTAGATGTGTTTTTTTTAAACGCTATCCGAGACATGGAATGCAGATTGGGGCTGTTGTTCTGTCTCGGCATTATGGAATTCAGACATAATGCGGCCATTTGATTCTTCAGTCTCTTATGAAAACAACACACGGTCTTTACATTGTCTAGGCCAGAAACTTTTAGCTCTTATTCCTTGGGAACTTTCAAGTTAATGCTCATTATATTATGAAAAAAATCCACCAAGTTTTAAACGCTTTTTAATTCGTTTCTCTCACGCCATACACTTTTGACACAAATCGGACAACTCAACAGATTATTAGAGAGAAACACATTATTCATTAACATAAAAAGAAAAGAAGGAAAGATACTAACGATAGATGTTTGATAGGAAAGAATAAGGAAACCACATCATAGCTCCTGTCAACTAACCACGTCTCACTGGCCAATTCAAAACAGGTATCATAACCAAAGGCGGAACGAAGTCCAATATCGTCCCAGACCTGTGCAAAATGGAATACACCATCCGAGAGGACACGCTAGCAAACCTTGACCTGCTCTGTGACAAAGTCGTGGGCTGCTTGCAGGCAGCTGCGCTAGCAACGGGCTGCACGGTTCGAGTTCATATTATTATTGCGTTTTTAATTATGGGAAATAATATTGTCAGCAAGATGTTCAATGTCATAAGCCCAGAATACAACACTTTACAGGAGAGAGACATGGAGAGAGAAACAGAGAAAGAGAGAGAGAGAGAGAGAGAGAGAGAGAGAGAGAGAGAGAGAGAGAGAGAGAGAGAGAGAGAGAGAGAGAGAGAGAGAGAGAGAGAGAGAGAGAGAGAGAGAGAGAGAGGGGGGGGGGGACTTGTCTCAATTCTTTTATAATGTGTACCTATGTTTTGTGTCTTTTGTAGCTTTTTTTTCAACATTTAGAATTAGAATTTTGACCCAATATTTGACACATACTGATACATGTATATATGCAATCAATACCACAGATTAAGAAATTGCAATTTAAAAGAAACACGCACAATTTTGAGCATAGTAGATCTGAACAGCTGGCCGACAATATTATGTGATATGCAGTACCAATAGAGCTAGACAGTAGTTAAATAATATACTGGAGAATCATTCTTTCTGAAGAGTTTCTTTAAAATTCGGAATTAGGCTGTCTGAAGGCAGGGTTGGGGGGGGGGGGGTACGATGTATTAAAAACTGTCATATTATACGAGGTTAAAATCAGTTGCAATACAGGTTTAAGAACCTTGAAGTCTAGCAGGGAAACGCATAAAAGATGAAAATTTATTCTGAAAGGAGATTTTGATGAGAGAAATGTTCTTAAAAGAGGTTGACATTTTGCTTCTTTCTTCCCGAATTTGAACCTCACCTCGCGACTCTTGTAACTCTATCTCTTGATCAAGTTTGAAATCGATTGCGCATTATTTAACCGCAAATATTATGTCAAATACAGAAACGTCTTTGCCAACGGTACATGAATACAAAAAACACTCAAAAACATTGCAATTTTGATATCAAAGGAAACAGCCACGTACTGTGAAAACGCTCATTAAATATAACTAGAAGACCAACGCTGTTTGTTTTTTTCAAGGAATACGTTTAATGTACCTGTTTATAGCGACCTGTTTTCTTCTTGCCACAGTATAGTTTTGTGTATTTAGACAACAATTCTCTGAACTGTTTACAGGTAGAAGTTGAATGGGAGGCTAAGCCGTATGCTGACATGCGCAACAACGAGACATTGGTCTCTGTTTACCAGCGTCACATAGAGCGTCTGGAGCCGGGAAGGCAAGCTCACAAAGGGGAGAAAGAGGCCTTCAAAGGTTCCACTGACATGGGCAATGTCAGCCATGAGGTTCCAAGCATTCACCCGTTCTATTATGTCGGAAACGAGCTCAACCACACAAACGAATTTACTGCACTTGCTGGTATGTGGGTTTAGGTAGTTGGGATGCACACAGAATATTTAAAAAAAAGTGTTCACTTGTTTCAGTAAAGAGAAGCACATAAGCACCGTTAGGGTCATTTGTTTCAGGGAAAAGGTATGTTTTGTTTTGGTAAGTGTTTTTACGGCGCTCGCAACTGCATTAGGTCATATGAGCGCGCGGGACACACCTAATATTTTAGGTTAGTAGGAAATTTTGAATTTAGCCCGGGTGGCGGCCGAAGCCTACTCTTATCGATTTTAGACCAGCAAGAAATCTTTAACGTGCGCAACTTGCACACGGGCCCTCCGAGATTTTTTGGCCTTTGTCCGACCAGAAGATCAGGGGTGTGGCAGAAAGACAGCAGTTAGGAGGAGCCAAGGAGTAGCAGTAGAAAGGCTGCAGAAAGAATCAGGAGCCCAGAGGAGGTGACAAAGGAGGTGAGGGGGTGGGGGCAGAAAGTGGAAACGAAAGCAGACAACAGAACATTTCTGGAGAGCAGGAAAGGAGGTGAAAGGATACAATTTTAGAGAAGAAAATTTTTTGATCGCTACCCGGATTCGAACCCGGGACCTTTGAATGAGAGGCCAACACCTTAACCTCTAGGCCACGAGAGCCCCCGGGAAAAGTTAATACAGGCAGACAGAAACAGAAGAGTGAAAGAAAAAGACGAGGCTTCTAGTGGCGTCCCCACCCCCCTTTCCCCACAACTACCCACTAGATTGGGAAGCTTGAAAATGACAAACAAATAGAGACATCAAGACCAAAAAAATGTTCATCTTTTTATATATTGTTTCATTATATACAGGGTCATTAAAAAGAATGTAAAGATTTCACCACGTAATGTTTTTGTTAAAAAAAGGCGATAAAAACTCAAACTAGGTCAAATGTATTCTACTCACAATCATATTTTATGTGCTATCTTGCAAGAGTTCAATGTGGCCACCCCCAGCAGCACGGGCAACATCATTGCGATTAGAAAATTCTTCATACCTGACGCGTTTCAGCATGTCACAGTCCGCTGAGTTGATGGCTATTGTTTTTCGATGTTTAAGGTCATCGAGTTTAGTGGGTAGCGGTGGAACATAAACACAATCTTTTATAGATTCCCACCGAAAAATAAGCACGAACCATTAGATGCCAATGGGACGGTGCCCCATCTTGTTGAAAAAGGAAATCATGCTAATCTGCTTGCATTGATGTGAAAAGACAGTTTTGGAGCATACAGAGATAGGTTTGTCCTGTATCGTAATTTCCTTCAAACTTCAAAGCAAGAACGACACGACAACACCACCTCCTGTGACAGCTATTCCAAAGTAAGATATCGCCTGTTTCAAATGTTAACGGTAACTGACTTATGCCATTATAACAATGCTTGCGAACAAAAGCAATACGTCATAAAATCGGTTCATTCTTTTTAAATAAAAAAAACAAGACAAAACAAACATAACTCCTCTTTCAAATTGGTCACTGACCCATTCTATAACGATGCTTGTGAACTGAAACGGTTCTTCATTACTTCGGTTCATTCTTTTTTAATCACCCAGTGCTGTACACTTTGTCTTTTGCTATTATCCTTTGGATGTGTAGTCCAATATCTATCTATCTATCTATCTATCTATCTATCTATCTATCTATCTATCTATCTATTTATCTATCTATCTATCTATCTATTTATCTATCTATCTATCTATTAACAATGAATGCTGTTGTGTTTTCTAGGGTCTGAAGGAGCCCAGCTTTTTACTTTAAATCAGGGGAAAGCGATGTCTATGACCTGTATTGAGATGATGATGGATAAAACACTCCTTCAGAGGGCCGCAAGTGATTTCCAGTCAACGAAAGCACGCCAAGACTGAGCATAGATGTCGGCAATGGCATTAGTTATTGATTATTTGCTGCACATTTTAAAATATTTGGAAATAACACAACGAAAAAAAAAAACTATATGGATTCTGCATTATAAAAACAGAAGTTGGTTTTATGTGTTATCTTTCTTCCGATTATGTGAGAATTTATCGACGGAAAAAAGTATCGTCCTTCCCATCGTTTTTCGTCTTAACACATTAGAGCAAAATATGCTATTCCTTGGTATAGACGTTGTGGTCAGATCTGAGGGGTGGGGGAAAGGGGAAGGGGTTGAGGAGGAGGAATTTTAAATACAATTTTTTCGACTGTGCCTGTTTTACACCTTGCACACACATATACACATACTCTAACTCACACACACACACACACACACACACACACACACACACACACACACACACACACACACACACACACGCACACATGCACATACACACAGACACACACGCACGCTCATACACACATACACACATGCACACACATACATACACACGCCCAAAACACACACACACACACACACACACACACACACACACACACATACACTGACACATATATTTATAATATTCTTTTCTATTTAAAAAAAAGAAGTTCTTTTTCTCCCCCTTTTGTGTATGCCACGTCAGCCCCAGTCCCCCTGGGGCCCTCTGGTGAAAAATATGACGTGGTATAGTTGTAACGGCCCTATCAACACCATTAAGTTATCTAAGAGGTGGGCCCTCCAAGTTTAACGTCCACTGCCGAAAGAGCCCAGCCAAATAATAAATTCGTTTAAAGTGCCTTTCCCAACGACACAACGTCGGACCGAGCTGAAGCTCGAACCCCGGGACCTGTAATCTCACGGTAACGAGTCGGGTAGCTTGCCTAACCACGAGGCTAGCAACGCCACTCCAGGCCATCTATGTACATATACAATATATGCATAATACATGTAAAATTTATTTTCTTTAAAGTAAACTTTGCTTTTTAAAAATTGACAAGTGAAACAGAAAAAAAATGATAATTATATACCCAAATGTCATTAAATAAAATATATTAGCAACAGACAGGTGGCTTTGTCGTGGCTTTGTCGTGGCTTCACTTTTCACCTTTTTCTACTTATCTTTTAATCTAGTCCTGGGCAATGCGTCATGAACAACCTCGTCAACACAACAAATTCAGGTTGACGCATACTTGGACCCCTAGCTAAAAACAGATTTGGCCTGGTACTCATATCTGGGTTCAACGTTGGGGTCACAGGGGGTTGGTGCAATTTCCTACACAAACAGGAAACAAGCTGCTGTGATCATCCATGTATGTAACGACGTGGGGCTTTATACTTTACTTTTAGCTAATTCCATTTTAAAATGACGTCGTTGGCCCTGTTATGATTGAGCTGGTACTGAAATACGGGGTCAGTGTTGGATCACAGTGGGGTTGTGCAATGTCTTACAGGAACAGGAAGCGGTTTTCTGAGATCATCGGTGTGCTTGAAGACATTTGGGAGGAAGGGCGCGGGTGTTATTTTACAGCTGCTCGGACACATTCCATTACGACGACTTCGAAATCTAATTACTTTTAAGCAATTGCTGAAAACAGGTCTCTTTTTAAAAGGATTTCATTCATTAGATGTAGGACTATCGAAACAGGCTCACATGTTTTGATTTAATATTCAATTGAGTGACTTTTTTCTTTATTTTTAGATTTAGTACTTAAAAAAGGCCTCGGCATAGTGGGTGTATCTCTCACGGAGATAAAAAGTTTACCAACATCCCTTCAAACGATGAAAAATAAGGCCGTTGATTCTGTAGTGGTTGACCTGGTACGCGAATTCAGGGTAAGGGTCCGGTCACAGCTGGGTTGGTGCAAGGTGATTGTCATTGTGCTAAATTTATGGTGTGAAAAAGAGGGGGGGGGGTATATTTCACTTGAACACAAACCCTTTCAAATGGTGAAAAATGAGGAAAACGGAGCTTGATTGTCCTCTGTATACAACGCATTAGCTCCTAAAACACACTCGCTTGCCGCAGCCTCGTACGCCACTGCTACACAGCCAGTCTCCAGAAGGCATGCGTGGACACATAAGCCCACCGTTGTCACAAGCCGTGTATCCAAGATGGTAGCGGAGGAGGAAAACTGAATGTTTCCGGGCACTTGTTTAAAGGTGAGACATTTGTCCACGAGTACTACCCGTGGAGAAGCTGAAATAAAAGAGAAGGATTATACTGGGTTATAGATAATGGATACCGTTTTGTAATTTTAGAATAAAAATCCAGACGGGAAGATTGGTAGGAGGTAGGATGTTTTGTTGCAGAAAGTTAAGAGAAGCAATGTACAACTACTGGAAATGCTACTAAGAAGAAGAAGAAGAAGAAGAAGAAGAAGAAGAAGAAGAAGAAGAAGAAGAAAGAAGAAAAAGAAGAAGAAGAAGAAGAAGGATTCTCTCAAATCTTTGACGACTCCATCAACGCAATTTAGGTCAGGCAGGTTGCAGGTTACCATGCCTGCTTGTCAGGGCCTACTAGACTTACTAGAATACAACATCCGAGCAGATAGACGGAGATATGAGAACTCCAAAACTCTCTCTCTCTCTCTCACACACACACACACACACACACACACACACACACACACACACACACACACACACACACACACACATACATACACACACACACACACTCACACACACACACACACACACACACAGACTCAGCCCCACTCCGACATCGAATGCTCTCATGTGCGTGCAGGAGGGAGCAGCTTGATTATTACATGACAGACGCCATTTGAAAGACACAGATATAGCTCGTATATGTCAAGACGAGGTGGAATCAGGTGCTTGTCACTTTTTAAGCAAGTGGAGTTATTGGTTTGGTCTTAAAGCTTGTTCATTGATCTTGCTCTTGATGAAAAACACACATCTATGTTGTAAGAAGTAAGAAAGTAATTTTATTCAGTGTTTACGGTCATCAGGTGGGGGTAGGCTAGTTTAAGAGGTAAAATTAGCGAGAAAATGGCCTCCAAACTTTAAAGAACACAAAATTTACTTTTTAAAAATATCTTTAGCCCAGGGTTTTCAGTCAAATTGACACAGGTATGTTATTTTGAATGAGCCAAACAGGGGTTGAACCAAAAGCAAAAATATATAGATAAATTTAATCGATAAGAAACGAAGGGAAAAATGCCTGGTTTTTATTTCATTATTTTGAAGAACACCTGATTTCACCATGATGCGTCAGATATAGACTTTGACAATACGACAATCCCTTTGTTATGACACTGCTTTCAAGGAGAAACGTCAATACAATATATTATTATTATAATGTTATAATATTTGCCGCCACTGAACTAAGGTGCCCTGACAGTAAAAACAGCATTCCCAACTGTGTCAGTAACAACACTGTTGTAACAACAATGAATTTTTTAGAAAGCATTTTGTGGCACTTGCAACACTATACTATAAGTTCATGTAAGTGCCGAAGATAAAAGGTGTTAGTAGTAGAGAGTAAGAATCACACAAAAGAAGGAGGAGAAGAGGAGAGATAGAGACGTTATATGTTTGATAAGAAAGAAAGAGCAAAACCACACCAGATCATCCCTTTTTTTAAGAAAGTGATTTACGGCTCTCACAACTGCATAAGGTCTTATGAGCGCGCTGGAAATATTTTACATTTTCAGTTGGTAGGAAATTTTGAATTTTGCCCGGGTGGCGGCCGAAGCCTACCCTTATCAATTTGGACCACCAAGATATCTTTAACGCGTGCAACATGCACATGGGACCTCCGAGATTTTTCGCCCTTTTCTGAGAAGGGTGGCTGAAAGACAGCAGTAAGAAGGAGCCAAGGAGAAGCAGTAGAAAGGCTGCAGAAAGAGTCAGGAGCCCAGAGGAGGGGGCAAAGGAGGTGAGGGGGTGGGGCTAGAAAGTGGAGACGAAAGCAGACGACAGAACATTGTTACAGAGAAGGAAAGGGTGTGGAAGGAGAAAATGTTAGAGAAGAAAGTTTTTCCTTTGTTATCATGATTCGAACCCGGGACCTATTCAATGAGACGCGAACACCATAACCTCTGGACCACAAGACCCCCCCCCCCCCCAAGAGCACCCGTCAGCCACCCGTCAACAATGACAACAAAAGAAATAGTGAGCAATAACAACAACAGCAATGTCAACAACTACCAAAAGAAAAGAAACAGAATCTAGCAGAATATCGCTACCTTAGAATTGCAAAGTTCTATCTGCACAATACCATGTTTAGAGAAATTTGACGTCAGAATGTTGAGTTTCACATGTCAACCTTTTTTTAATGCAATTCTTTGAATGAAATAACAAAATCTTATTAACGACTCCAGACAATCTTGCGATCTTTGTTTGAGCAGATAGAACATTTTGTTTTCCGACCTCACGGTCTAAGTAACTCAAAGCGGCCGAAAATGTCAGAGAGAACTTTGTAATAATAAGATAGCGAAATGACATGGTGTCCTTCGTACCAAAGCCAGAAGGTCCTGTGGTTGTTGTTCCGGTGATTGGCGGGTCAGTAGTGAGACTTGCTGATGACGTTGTTCCCACAGAGATGGATATGGATAGAGGTGTCGCGACAGAAGTAGTTGATGATGTGTCCGTGAGTGTTGATCCTGTTGTTGTTGGTGGTGGCGGAGTTGTAGTGATTGATGCTGTTGATGCCGTTCTAGTGGATGTTGTCGGTTCAGTCGTGGCTATTGTTGGTTGTGGTGTTGTGGTTATCGTTGGCGGTTCAGTTGGTGTTGGTGGAGGTGGTGCTGTTGTGGTTGTTGATGCTGGTCCAGTGGTTGTTGTAGCTGATGTTGTGGTTGTTGTTGGTATTGCTAAGGTTGTCGTTAGTGGTGTAGTGGTGATAGTTGTTGATTGTGCGGGAGTTGTTGTTTGTATTGTGGTGGTTGTTGTTGTAGGTTCAGTTGTAGTTGTCGTTGGTGCTGTGGTGGTGGTAGTTGTTGTGGTGATGGTGGTCGTTGCTGGTTTACTGGTTGTTGCTGTTGGTGATCGATTTGAACTTGTCGTAGGTTCTGTAGCGGTTGTTGTTGATAGAGTGGTGGTTGTCGGCGGTTCTGTGGTATTTGTTGTTTTTTCTGTAGTAGTTGTTGCAGATGTTGGTGTTGTGGCTGTTGTCGATAGTTTTGTGGTGGTAGTTGTGTGTACAGTGGTGGTTGTAGTAGGTTCAGTTGTGGTTGTTGTTTCGTCTGTGGTGGTTGTTGTCGCTGGTTCTATAGTTGTTGTTGTTGGTTCAGTAGTTGTCGTTGTTGTAGTTGTCGTTGTGGGAATCTGAAAGCATAAAGAAGCACTGAAATGGACAGCAAGATGCCCAGGAACGGGTATACAGACTTTTATTTTC